GTAGTTGAGACGCTGTTTTCTTGTGCTCCAAGAGGTGTCTGCTTCTGATATCCGTGCAAATTCCGATACAGGAAGCAGGGCAGCAGGAGCCAGAGGTACAGCGCCTGCGAGAGGGACATGGAGAGGGAGGCGCGGCATGGTTGCGGACCGAGTTGGAGGCCAAGAACTACACCGACTTGCGACGGCTGTGCGCTGAGTTGGGACTGCCGCAGAAGCGCGACGGCAGCAGCCTTCGGAAGGAGCAGCTGCTGGAAGCCATAATGGATTGCTTCTCATCGCAGGAGGGATGGAGTCACGGTATGGGCGTAGAGCGGTGTTGAACTTTGCACACAAGCTGTTTGTGTTGAAGTAGGTGTTGGCTAGACTCGATAGTGGAAAGCTGCGTGTCCCTGACAGGAACCTGTACATCCGAACGTTGAGGACGGTTTCGTGAAAGACATCTAGATATAAGACTTTCAATCTTTGTTAAGATACCGAATTTGTGTTAGGGGATGGGTGCAGTGTACAGTTCAACTTAGTTGAGACGCTGTTTTCTTGTGCTCCAATAGGTGTCTGCTTCTGATATCCCTGCAAATTCCCATACAGGAAGCAGGGCAGCAGGAGCCACAGGTGCAGCGCCTGCGAGATGGACACCGGGAGGGAGGGGCGGCGTGGTTGCGGACCGAGTTGGAGGCCAAGAACTACACCGACTTGCGACGGCTGTGCGCTATGTTGGGGCTACCGCAGAGGCGCGACGGCAGAACCCTTCGGAAGGAGCAGCTGCTGGAATCCATAGTGGACTGCTTCTCATCGCAGGAGGGATGGAGTCAGGGGATGGGCGTAGAGCGGTGTTTAACTTTGCGCACGAGCTTTTGGTGTTCTGCTTTTGGTATCCAAGCAAAATCCCTGACAGGAACCGGCGCATCCGAACATGGAGGACGGTTTCGTGATTTGTAGCTGTATTCGAGTAAGGAAAAGATATCTAGATACAAGACTTCCAAGCTTTCTGAGACACTCAACCTTGGTTACAATGGTTTTGTGACGTGTAGATGTATTCGACCAAGCAAAAGACATCTTGATGTAAGACTTTCAGTTCGGGGATGGGTGTTTGCTTTTGGTATCCAAGCAAAATCCCTGACAGGAACCGGGACATCCGAACGTTGAGGACGGTTTGGTGAAAGACATCTAGATATAAGACTTTCAATCTTTGTTCAGATACCCAACAATCTTTGTTAAGATACCCAATTTGTGTTAGGGGATGGGTGCAGTGTACAGTTCAACTTAGTTGAGACGCTGTTTGTTGTGCTCCAATAGGTGTCTGCTTCTGATATCCCTGCAAACTCCCATGCAGGAAGCAGGGCAGCAGGAGCCAGAGGTGCAGCGCCTGCGAGACGGACACCGGGAGGGAGGCGCGGCGTGGTTGCGGATCGAGTTGGAGGCCAAGAACAACACCGACTTGCGACGGCTGTGCGCTATGTTGGGGCTGCCGCAGAGGCGCGACGGCGGAACCCTTCGGAAGGAGCAGCTGCTGGATCCATAGTGGACGGCTTCTCATCGCAGGAGGGCTGGAGTAAGGGGATGGGCGTAGAGCGGTGTTGAACTTTGCACACAAGCTGTTTGTGTTGAAGTAGGTGTTGGCTAGACTCGATAGTGGAAAGCTGCGCTTTGCAGGAAGGGTTGTATTCGGGGATGGGTGTCTGCTTTTGGTCTCCATGCAAAGTCCCTGACAGGAACCGGGACATCCGAACGCTCAGGACGGTTTTGTGATTTGCAGCTGTATAGTTCAACTTAGTTGAGATTCTGTTTTCTTGCGGTCCAATAGGTGTCTGCTTCTGATATCCCTGCAAGTTGAATGATATCCAAGTTGAATGATACCCAAGTTGAATGTATCTGCGCAAGCGTCACGGCGGAGGAACCGGTGACGGCGGAGTCACTGCGACGCTTGGCGCAGGAGCTGGGAGACCAAGCACCACCGACCCTCCGAGGTCGTCTGAGGGGTGTGCGTCTGAGGAACGCGGAGCCGTCCTTGGTGGATATAGCTTCGGAGTTGGGCCTACCTTGCGAGCATATGCATCGGAACAGGCTGGTGGATAGCATCGTTCTGTCGCTCTGTCCGCTGCGAGCGCCCGGGGCGGAAGATGATGTGAGGTATCACTTTTGGCGCTGGCTCGCAGATTGCCGGACCGTTCCTGCAGCAGACCTCGTAGCAAAGGCATCTGTCAGTTTTCCTGCGACACAGCTACGGCGATGTATGCTGAGTCTTTGCGAAGATGTTCCGTTGGAAAGTATTGAGAGGAGGCATGGAAGCGCGGCCGCGGAGCTGGAGCAATTGAGCCAGGCCACCGTTGCCATCTTGCAACACCTTTCTGCTTTGAATGTTCAGTTTCCAGCTGAAGTGCCAGAGACTTGGACCACTGCGATGGAACAACTGCAAAGCATCAGATGGCCAGACCGTTTGTCTGGATTGCAGTGCAGTAGTTTGCTGGCTGTGTTGTTGGAGAATCGGCCGCTACAGCGCAGAGGCCGGGCGCGTGTGGACCGGAATTGTGTTGTGGGGTCTGATGTTTGTTTGGCTTTTGTTCGGTCGCAAACATATAGACTGTCTCCATCGAAAATATCTTGGGTGCAAGGTTGGTGGCAGTTGGTGGATTGCTGGGATCGCGCAGATCCAGTGGATGTAGCAGAGCGACTGTGGAGCCTGGGCACATGTCATCAAGCTGGACCAGCAGTGGAGCCAGACAGTGGCTTCCAGGATCGAGAAGATGTTTTGGAGGTGGGTCGGCAGAAAGCGTGGGACTTTTGCAAGGTTTCTGTGGACGTTTGGTTCGGAGACACAGTTTCTGCTTTGATTGGTTGTTCGTTCGCCTGTTTTTTTCCCGTGTCTCTCTGCGCAGGCGGTCTTGGGCACACTGAAGCACAAGCACAAGAGTCGTGGATATGATGAGGCAGACAAACTCTTGTTGCGCACTTTGATGCGGCGCTATGGCTGGGAAAGACATCTGGACGAGAGCACAGCGTGCACGTGGATGGAAACCTTTGAAGCAGTCAAGAAGGCAGAGTATTGGTCTCGTTTTGCTTGGTTTCTGGTCGCGCACTTGTTGCACCCTGCTTGTCGTGAGAGTTTGCGTGCGTGGCACAATCCGGTGACCGTTTTGGAGTCGAGATTAGACCGCAGTGGTATTGCCCAGGAGGTGGTTACTTTGCACGATGACTTGTTGGCCTGGCAAGATCTCCACGGGTGTTCTTCGTTGCCCGAGAAGAAGCAGCATGCAGACTTGGCGAAGAGGGTGGGCAAGTATTTCAACAGCAGGGAGGCGCGTGTGAGGACCCTCCAGAAAGCTTATCCTGCAGACTTTGCGCCGCTGCCTGGTTACAGAGTTGAGTGTTTGTCCTTGGAAGGCGATTCCCTGCGTGGTGTACTCTGGCGGTCTGCAGCTGAACGTGCTCTGATGTTTTCGATCCCTGGATGGAGAGAAGAGGGCAAGGGCAAGGAGGAGTTTCATCCTTTGCAGGATTTCTGTAAGCATTGGTTGCCAGAAGCAGACGAGATGGAGTGTCTTGATTTGTTGACGAACACACAGCGCCCTGTCACGTGGAAGCTCGAGCAAGTCGCGAGACGATTGGACTGTTCACCCACGGTATCTGGTGCGCAAGAAGCCTTAGCCAAGCGCTTACTGCGATCTTTCCCTGAGGATGCAGGTGAATGCCTACAGAAATTCTGCTGTAGATTGTGTCCAACCGACTGCGCAGATGCAAAGTCCTTCAAAGAGCACGTCGCACAGGAGCACGCTGGCGTCGGGCTGCAAGATACTCCCCGGACGCTGATTGAGTATCGCAAGAAGATTCTCGCTCTTGTTGAGCACGCAGGACCTCTTGTGTCTCGGTCGATGTCTTGGACGTATTTGGGTGTTTCACTTTGTAACTTCTTCCGGACAAGTCCTGTGTGGACGCCGTTCTGCGGAAGCGCAACAAGTACTAGACATAACAATCTTTTCGGTGCACAAAGGCCAGTCGCGAGATGAAAAGCGAGAGTAGGCCGGTTTTTCTGTGAGACAGTCAAGTAGTCAATGACAAGCATAGGGCATAGTGGTTGGTGAACTACATCTCAGAAAAGCAGTATCCTAGAGTGAAGGAAACGTTATCGCTGCTCGCATATCGATTGTCGCGTCGCCTTTGACAAACTTGTTATATGTTATGAACACAAAACTGCTTCTTGTCATGTCAGGTGGGTGATTTATATGTCATAGTGTTGTATGGGAGGTGTTTTGTTGTTTATGGCATTTTATGTGTGATACATATTTGGTGTGTCCGAACGTGGATGATCGCTGAGGTACCAGGTATGAGCAGACAGAGGACAATAGCTGCCAACTTTGATGAGCGCTTGCGTTGCCCTGCAGGCACGAGTGAGGAGGGCCGAGTGGAAGCTGCCTGTGTGGTGTGTGCTCGACGTTTTTGGGCGCATGAGTTGAACAAGGTGCTACTCTTCACCGATCCTGCCCAAGCAGAAGGGCTACCACAGCTCCCGGATGGAGTGGATGCAGCAGTCCGTCCATCCCAGCAGCATCGACTCTGCCGCCTGCTGGGAGTTCCACGCTATGCTGAGCGCTGGCCGCACATAGCTTTGGAGGAGTTGCAGAAGTCTGCCGTTGAACATCCTTTCCTCCCAGGTGAATATGTGCTCTTGCGCCGGCGGCGCATGCCGGAAGACGCACGACAGCCGTCCCCTGTTTGCCGGGACTGCCGCACCAGCCTGACAGCCCAGGTTCTGACCTTGCCGCGCCACGCCCTGGCGAATGACCTGTGGCTTGCAGAGCCTTGCCAGAGCTTCGTTCCCTCTCCGCGGGGACGAAGCGGCTCTTGCCCCTGGTGCGTGTGTGCATGCAGGTCACCGTCCTGCAGCCGGTGGTGCTTCCCCACGCCGAACGGCAGAAGGGCTTCATCGGGAACACCATCTTTTTGCCGCAAGCCAGTCCTTCCTCAGTCGAAGCAGTGTTGCCACCCCGCGCAGAGGACATGGCCGAGCACATCTTGTTCGTCTTGGTGGGCCACAACAGAGGCGACCTGCGATCGTCGGCCACGATGCAGGCACCTCGAGAGGAATACGTTGCCGCTGTGGAGCGCCTCCGACAAACTTCCAAGTACTACGCGGAGGCAGCGGTCGATCTCAGTCGATGGTCTGGCCAGGAGGAGACTATGTTTGAAGGCCGTGTCCTTGAGACGGACGCAGACAGCTATTTGGCGAGAGAGCTCTTACAACGGGGACCGGCGGACGCTCAAGGCCAAGAGAGCAGCCAGCAGGAGGAGGACGACGCTGGCATGGCGGAGGACACTGCAGAGTCCGGCGAGCGAGCACACGAAGACTCAGGACAGTTGCGTTTGGTCTGTGGGTTGGTAGATCGTCGTCTCACATTTGAAACTACTGATTCTATATAGACATATACAGATAGTGATCTCTCGTTGCTTGGCTAACTTCTTGGCACACTCCTGCTTGGTCAGGTCATCTGATTTCCAGCATTGTCGGCCTGAATGACACCTCGGACGATGAGAATCGTTGGTTGCGGGTTTGCCGAGATGTGGAGGATCTGTGTCGTCGAAAGCCTCGACAGTATGACACTGATGCAGAGCTGGTCGTGCGCAATCGGGCCAACAATGACCTGGGTGTGGATGCTGCGCAGATGGAAGGAGCAAATCTACTGGGTCGAGAAGGTGCGCACGAACGTGGAGTCCTTCGTCGCATCCGGCAGGTCCAGACTGTGGCCGCGCATGGGGTGGAGACAGAGCGACAAGCGCAAGGGCAAATGTTTGAGGTCAGGCCACAGAAGTTGGTGGTGCCTTCTCGAGATACCCCTCTGAGCATGTTTGAGCCAGGGACCTGGGCAATGGCTTTTCCTACGTTGTTTGCTTGGGGTGACGGGGTGCCTTTCTTGAAGAGAGAGACGAGCATGGAAGCTTCTGAAGTGTTTCGTTATTTACTCCTACGCGAAGAGCTCCAGTACAGCGGTGATGCAGGTGTTGAAGATGAGGTCCCTGCACTACCTCGATGGCGTTTGTCGGCCGCTCGGGACGACGAGTGGTTGCGTCGCGGTGACCGTAGGAATGGACATCTTTTTTGGGGCCAGATTTTTGGTTAATGTCTTTTGTGGCTGAGTTGTTTGTTGGTTCGGACATTGTATAGTTTTGGGGTCTTTGGCAGTTACTATCGTTTAGGAATAGATATTTATAAATTCTTTTGATCGCACCGACGCGTCGCTCACCCAAGGAGCAGTTGCTCCCGACGATGTATGATGTCCAACGTCGTTTGACGTTGATGCGGACCTCCAAGGCCTATGTCAAGAGGAGTGGCTTCGGCCGCCACTGCTCGGTTATAGCCTCCGTGACCTCCGAGCACCTCCTGAAGGCTATGGCGCTGCACGGGGAGAAAGCGGACATCCGCGAGTTGCTCCGCTCCCCGGACGTGGACGTGCCGCTCAAGCGCGCACTGGGTAGTGTCCTGCAGGCCAGTTCCAACGTTTTGGGCACAGAAGGTCACCGATCTCAGATCCGTCTGCGAGGCCACGCAGCTGGGTGGCATTACGGCCCAAGTCACATTTTTGTGACACCGAACTTGGCGGACTCGCGAGCTTCTCTGCTTTTGCAATTGCATCTGCAGGGGGGCTCGCGAGTCGAGGCCTATGAGGTCGACCTGGCCTGGGACCTCGAGGCACCAGCGCTGCCCTCGCTGAGCGCAATGCGTCGCATTCTAGCTGCCGACCCAGTCTCTCAAGCAAGGTTTTTTGACGTGATGATGACCTTGTTCTTTGAGGAGATATTGGGCACGTTGCCGCCGCTTACCCGCGCCAGCTTCCGAGGCGGTCTTGCCAGGGACTTCGAAGATGGTTTTGCTGCTTCCACTCATGCTGGTTGCTTTGGAGATGTGGCAGCCTTTTGTGGCCCTCTTGAGACTCAAGGACGCGGTTCCATGCACCCACATATTCTGGTTGTGCTTTTGGGGCACGACTTGGGCAATCGCCTTCGCTCTGTTTTGGCCACCGCAGCGCGTGGAGAACTGGTCATTGAGTTGGAACGCTGGAGTCGCGCCGTCCTACAAGCAGCCAGCCGTATTCGCTACGACAGCCAGCAAGCTCTCAGTCAGCAGTTGGAACAAGAAGTCTGTCCACTACCGCTGAGCGAAAATCAGCGTGCTGCGTGTGGGAGGCAATACAGCGACGTGCCACTGAGGTCAACGGAGCCAGACGGCCACGAAGCGGCGACGGAGTCCAGTACACCTCTCCGACTGACCGGATGCTTCGCTTCACTACGTCCACATTATGTCAGGAGGAGCAAGGCCGCTGCTTTCAACGCGGCCAGTTGGTCGGGCGCCCTCTGTCGCGACTATCGTCGGCTGGTCATACAGAATCACTTCCACAAGTGCACGAAGTCTTGTTTCAAGAAGACCCTCGGCGGGTACAGAATTTTTTTTGTGATACACCTCGGACACTTTGTTCAGATGTCGCCGTTTTCGTTTCACGACATCAGCATTGTAGCCTGGACGTGGTTATGCGGATCCGATGTCATTAGTATTAGTTCAGTGTCGGACAGGGATAATAGTTGTGTGTTTGATTTGCTCCGCCCACCGAGCACGTTATCTGCACCGGTCACCGAGCATGTTGACACGGCCATGCAACGTTGACTCAGGAACGCTGCGAAAGGCAAGCGGGGATGTCGATTTGGCTGCTTCCACGTCGAACTACACAAAGAAACGGAAGACTCTGGACTGGAGAAGGTGCGCGCGCGTTGTTTGAAGGGATGGCCTCGAGTTCAGCGTGCGCAGTTTATGATTCTACCACGTGAAAATGTTCCATTGGAGGAAGAGGAGGCCATGAAGAATGAGAACCCCCATGTCTTTCAACCTCAACGGGACCATCCCTTCGAAGGCATGTCGAATCCCATAGCTCAAGTCAGCATGCGGTGCAACGTCGACGTGAAATACTTGGGACGTGGTTTTTGCGATGCCGATTTGCAGAAATTGGCTGCCAATGAAGAGGATGGAGACGGACAGGGCGGAGACGCACAGCCACCAGACGGGGAGCGCAAAAAGAAGGACAAGAGCTTGGACGCGCGGTTGCGCAGAGTTGTTGTGGATATGTTTCGGGACATGCAGGATGTGCAATTTTATACTGGGGAGTACGCGAGCAAGAAGTTCGAAGTGTCTCGATCTCTGCTGCCGGAACTCTTTGCCGGCGTTCAGCGTCTTGAAGCTGAAGAGGCACAGCGTCAGGCAGCTGTGTCAGATGCAGGACGTTAGTTGACTGTTGGATTGTTTTGTCCCTTGGCAACACAGTTCCAAGGAAAAAGTAGAAGTTGTCTAAGGGAATTTACCGCCGTGCTTTTTTGGGGGTCTAGGAACATCAATACCGGCGGTCAGGAGACATGCCGAGCGGCCATGACGCCGCAGTGGCGGAGGCGGCACCGGTGCCCGAGGCTGCGCCGTTGCCTGCAGAAGTGGCCAGGTTGCGTGCTTTGAGTTTATTGCGACGTCTTGCTTTTGGCATGCAGAGATGTGTTGCGAAGTCCAATGGGGAGATGGCCTACCAACTTTTGTTTCAGCAGGAGCAACTGGTCAGCTACAGTGGCTACAACATGTTCTTTCGGTTTGTGCCCTATGCCATGTTTCGTTGTCGCGCAGTGGCCTTGGACGCAGCCGCCGCCAGCGCGCCTCATTTGAAAGTTCTGCCCCTGGAGCCTGTGGAGGCTGAAGAGATTGACGCAATCCCTGTGCAAGAGGTTGCTGAGGTATTCGACGAGGAAGATTTGACGGAAAGTGGGATCCCAGGTGGCACGAGGGTTGCGTCGCACAATCAGAAGGATGATTACTTGCATCGTGGTGCTTCAGCCGTTATGACGTCTATGTCTTTGGTTATGTATTCTCGTTATGTGCGACGAGTTCCTCGTAGCCAAGCTGGTCGCGTTGATTACGTCAAATTTTTCCCTTTGATGAACACTATGCACATTTCCAATTGTCAGTGCAGGACTGTTGCTTCTGTCTTTTTCTTTTTTGGGTTGCTGACGTGTTTTGTTGTTTCATGTTCAAAAACTGCGTTGATTGTGTTTCATGTTCAAAAACTGTGTTGATGGCGTGAAAATATTCCCTTTTCCCTTTGACGAACACTACGCACATTGTCCCTTGTCAGTGCAGGATTGTTGCTTCTGTTTTTTTCCTTGTTCGTTGCTGACGCGTTTAGGTGCTTCATTATTGACAAACATAATTCATATATAGTTGGGCTGTGGTCGCTTTCCTGTGGATCTATTTCTGCGCACGGATCCATCGCTCGGACATCTGCGCGCCCTGTGACAGGAGTTGCGAACAGCAGACGACAATGTTGTGGTGCCTGTGGATTTGCGCCTTCCGGGGCAGAATGAACCTGAGAAATACGCAGCGTTTATGCTGGGTTTGTCGTTGCCCTTTCCACGTTGCCCGGGTGCACAGCATTGTGGAGAAGCTTGGCAATGTTTTCATTGTCATGAGATTGAAAAGTTGGAAGGGAAAGGTTTCCTGCGAGCCTGTTTCTCCAAGACCTGGAAACATTGGAAAGCTTGCATGCAGGTGCGCAAGGTGAATGCGCAGGAACGACTCTTGGCTGGCTTGAGTTTACCTTTTCTGCGTGACTTGGTGGGCTTACGCGAGTGGTGCGATGTGTCTTGTCTCGACGAGATGCTTCTGGATGGAGCAGACCCTGAGATCTCCGAAGAGATGCCTGCGCAGGAGCCCGCAGGAGAAGATGCAGAGGACCAGGGAATTCTGTTTCCGAGCGCCTCCACACCTTCGCCTCTGTCGAGTACCTATCATTTGATGTGGTGTCTCGGGAAGGTTTTCAAGGGCAAGCATGGTCGCTACGTGGACCTACCTCGGATACACGAAAGGATTTGTTGGTCTTTGGGAATCCCTTGTGGTTTTCACTACACACAGTTGACTCCGCTGGAGCACATGTCTCATGTGCAGCTGCAGTGGTTGGGGAGATTCCGCCTGCACCACGAAGCACGACAGCTCAGCAGCAGCCAGAGGAGAGCCGAGCGCTTTGCTTACATGACCAAGGAAGAGGAGGGCGAAGACGTGGAGGAGTACTGGGTACAGCACATGCTTTTTTAGGGGGGCCAAGTCGCGGTAAAGTGTTTCTGTGTATGTAGCGTAGTTGTTTGACAAGCATCACTGGCAAGTGTCCAGCTGGATACAGCACATGCTTTTTTTGGGGGGGGGGGCCAAGTCGTGGTAAAGTGTTTCTGCGTATGTAACAATGTAGCGTAGTTGTTTGATTTTTTGGGGGGGCCAAGTCGTGGTAAAGTGTTTCTGCGTATGTAACAATGTAGCGTAGTTGTTTGACAAGCAGCACTGGCAAGTGTCCATGTGCGCGGAGGACGATGTCGGTCCCGTGGACATAGAAGGATCTGATGTGGAGAACGATCTCGAGCACGAAGATGCGATAGAGCGCATGGATTGCGCCGAACATCCTGTGAGCCGAGAAGCTTTGAAAAAAGTACTCTTTCGTGAGAAAGACTGGAAGCGTTGCCTGGCGGGACGCGACAACCGCACGAAGTTTGCTCTGAGCAGATTGAAGCAAGTGGTTGAGGCCATGGGTGGCTTGCCCAATGTGACTGTCAACGTTGAAGGCGAGCGTCCTCTGGATGGTGCTCTTCGTCGCGCATGGGCCTATGCTGAAGCACAAGACATGTTTGACCGGCAATCCCAGTACCTGGAGAATCTGTCTGGAGGCCTTCTGCGTCAGATAGACAGTATTTTTGTTGAGAGCTTCTGCACTGTGCGACACGAGCTTGAGAGATATAATTTTGTTCTGTGAATTCTGTGAGTCGGAGAAAATATTTTGTCTGGTTATCACGATAGCGCCCGGAGACGGAGGATATAGTTGGACTCAGCATTTTTTTTGCAGCTACTCGTCGTTTAGTTTTAACAGACATTGATCCATACGCCAGGTGTTCCAGATGATGCTGAGGAGGAGTTTGTCCCGAGTGGCCTGGAAGCGATGACTGCGACGGATCCGTTCTTGATGGATCTGAACGCGCAGAATCTGCGACCGAGGGACTATGCCTTGAAGCTGGTGGAGGACCAAAGCTGGTGGAAAATCATGGGGTGGATCGAACGACTGGTGTCCTTAAGTAGATGTTTCTGGGAGAGTTTATTGCATAGAGGTTTCTTGTTCAATGGGACCAGATTCTAATGGGACCGTGTGAAAGTTCTGAGAAAGTCGCAAGTGTTCCGAACACGCGACAGGAGTGCACGCTCAACGCACAGCAGATTCGCGCTGTGGCTCCCATTGTATGCACGATCGATGAAATGTGGGAGAAGCGCACCGAAGCAAGCACCTGCTTCGCCAATGGCCAGCCCAGTGAGCGGTGCAATTGTCTATGGCTTGGCGCGGGGGGCTCGGGCAAAACGTGGGCATACACCAAAGTCTTGCGACCTTTGTTCCAGCGCTTCTTTGGCTTTGGTCGCTACACTGCCGGGGCACCGACCCACGCGGCCGCGCGGTTGTTGGGGGCAGAAGCTAGAACTCTGCACAAACTGGCGAACATTTCCCCCAACTCCGCACTACACCGCGGCGCCATCCGAGGGCAGCGGAACAAAAATGATGCCTTGGAGCAACAGATCCTGGCGTCATTGGCCTGCATCGTCGATGAGCTGTCGATGAGCGCAGCGGATGTATATCATGCTCTTGGCCTGCGCTTCTCGGTGAAGCGCTGTGAGAACTGGGCGCTGGACCTGAGCCGCTATCTGCAGGAGTGGTTCGGCAAGATGCCGATAGGGCTACAATTGGGCGACTTCCTACAGTTGCGCCCTGCCGCCCAAGCGAGCCTCTGCGAATGGGTGGAAGTTCCGTCAGCGGTAGAACCAGCGCCGCTGACGGAACTTCAAGAAGCCGAAGCCCCAGAGCAGGCCAGCAACGCAGCCGAGCTGGGGCGGCTCTTGTTCAAGAACTCCATGGGCATTGTGGTGCACTTCACTGGAACTGGGCGTTTCTCTTCTTGTGCTTCTGGCCAAGCTTTGGTGGCCATTTTGCAGCACATGCGGCAAGGCACCGCCATGACGGACGCACTCTGGGCGCAACTCCAGAGTCGTGTCTACGAGGTCCAGCAACAGCAAGACCTCCAGACCGCGCCTTCGCGCGGGGTGTTCTTGCGGGCCTACTGGGGTGCACTTGCCTGGGAGCAGGTTGCTCGGTTGCAACAGTTGCGAGCAGTGCTTGAGGCGGAAGACGCTGGAGAACGGCTGTACTTCGTGCAAGCCATCGACAAGCCCACCGGCGACGCCGCGCTGTCTTCCGCCCAGGTCAGCGCAGCTCTGCAGCATTTGAACATGACCAAGACTGGGTATTTGATTGGCATGTGTCCGTTGTTTCTTGGGATGGAAGTGCGCATTTCGCGCATCTTGCCGGAGCCCTTGCTGACGCGTGAGCTCCCGTGCATAGTGCGACGCATGGAACTACATCCCAAAGAACCTCCGACGCCACCTGGAGCAGCTTGCGTGGTCCTGCAGTACCAGCCGCTTGGAGTTTTGGTGGAGGTCGCAGACAGTGATTATGGTCAGTTTCAGGTCCCTGGCGACGACGTACCCAAGGGTCATTTCTACGTGAGGCCTGTGTTCAACAAGCAATCGGCCTGGGTCTTTGAGGTTGCGCCCAAGCAGAAACTTCGACTTGTTCGGAAACAGGCTTGGGACGCACTAACTTGTTTTGTGTTCTCTGGTACACATCGTATCGTCGCCGTGTCGGTCTGTCTTTCTCGTTTAGTTTCCTTTATGCGCAGGTACCCTTGGCCCCACAGCGAGTGCTGACTCATTTTGGACTGCAAGGCATCACTGCCAGATCTGGCCTGGTCGCTTTTCTGAATCAACCTCCCTGGATGAAGGATGGAGATTACGGTTTGGCCCTCTATGTCATGTTGTCACGAGCAACGAAGTTGAGCGATTTATGGCTCATTGGAGTGCCTGAGCGCCCATATTTCGAAGGCTTCTTGCATGAGCACAACAAGACTTTGGTGGATCGTATGAGCCTGTTTGAACGTCTGTCTGTGCAGAATGAGCAAGCTGCGGAAAAGTACATCCAGAAGCTGCTTTGGAGGGGAAATGCTTACGTGAACCGCACGCTTGGTGTTTCTGGAACAGGACAAGCCAAGAGGCGGAGGCTGACAGGCAAGACTGCTGTGGCCTGAGTCTACGTGGTCTGTTGCAAGTGGATACGAAGATCCGACGCAATCACCTCGGAGAAAGTGGACGTAGCTTTGCTTAGCAGACGTTTCAGCAAGGTCGGGGTTCCCAACGAGAACAGATAAGCTGTAGATCTTTTTTTGATAGTGTTTTGATAGTGGTGCTGGGACGTGCTCTGGTTTTGGGTCGCGGATCGCGTGGCCTGCGGCTGCAGGTCCGACACCATTGCTTTTGGCTCCGGGCACGAACGTGCGTCAACGGAACACTGAGACAACGCCTCAGTATTGTGGTTCTGTAGGATAGTTCGTTTTCGATCTTGCTCGAGGTCCGATGCAGCAGTGACCTCTCAGGGGATGGACGTTATTCTGCGGAATTACTGCGGGGGGTAGATGCAACGCCGCAGGGAGGTCGGGGACCCCAAAGAGAACAGACAAGCTTAAGGTTTTAGACATCGTGAAAGCATCTTGTCGCCATAGTCATCTTAGTACTCTGGTTCTATGTGATAGTTGCCTAGTATCTCTCAGCGCAGAAAATGAAAACTGTAGTTCTTTGTCGTGGTTTGCTTTGCATTTTGCGCCAGGTCCGACGCCAGTGCCTCTGACTGAGGCAATGAGCGTGGTTGTGTGGAAGATAGTCACAACGCCTCAGGGAGGGCGGGGATTCCCAAGGAGCATACAAAAGCTTGAGATCTTTGATCTTCTGAAATGTTCTGTTGATAATAGTGATGGGCAGTACTCTGGTTCTGTCGTATAGGTTGTTCTTTAGATCTTTGATCTTGTGAAAGTTTCTGTTGACAATAGTGATGGG